GTTTCCCCGCCGGCAACAGCAGGAGAAAGGAAAAGCCTGATGCCCCTCGCGGGAGCGATCCCGCGCCACACTCAAGCCGACTCAGCTGTAGCACCCGCGACGGTTCGCGAGACAAAACGACGCTGTTTCAAAAGCCAGGGCAAGAAGGGGGATGGGGTGAGGAGGAGGAGGAAGAGGAGGGGGAGGAGGAGTGAGAAACCAGATGGCGAAAGGTACGAATATATCCTAAAACGAATCATTCCCTGGCTGGCCACTGTTGTGCGAGAGATCAATATTGAACGGCCTCAACGGCCCAGATATAAATTCACCATGGCAGGAGACAGGAGGGGGGAGCAGAGAGAGGAGGACGAAGAGAAGAGGACAAGCTGACAAAAAGAATGTCCACACTTCCAGCGTGGAAATAGCGAGGCGGCGGCCGCTGGCGAGCCAGTGCTGGGTCAACGAAGCACGATCGAAGGCGAAACCAAGCATGTTCTAAGGATGCTGCGCGGAACATCCGAAGGCATAGAACAGAACTCTGCATGCAAGCCGATGCTCGAAAAGAGCGCCCCCCGACCACCCTTAACCAGCCCCAGAGGCCCCGGGGAGGGCCCCAAACGGGCTCCAAGAGGCGCCCAATGAGACCAAAATACAACACGCTGTCAACACAACAACTCCCCCAACAAAGAGAAGAACGGCTTTAATAGCGTGCTAAATTTTGCGCCACCAAGGGGACCAGATGGAACCAGGTAGGGGCCCCCACGGGTCCATTTTAGGGCCTGGAAATCCCCAGCTCCCCACCACGGGCGCAGAGGGGAAGAGGGCGAGGAGGGGGAGGAGGAGGAAGAGGGCGAAGGGAAGCCAGAAGCGCACAAAAAAACTACCGCGACCCTTCGCGGAGGTAGCTGCGGAAAGCCCGAAGGTACTCCTCCTGGTGGGCGAACAGGCCGTGGCGGATGCTGTTTTGCAGGCGATAAACAGCGTAGAGGGCACGAGCGCGCTGCAGGAGGGGAGGGGGCCCAAACCGTTCCGCTTAGTCGGTGCTCGACCGCATGCGCATGAAAGAATCAAACGCCCAAACCGCATCCACGGCAGGCCAAGTAAAGCTGCCAACCACCTTGCATCGCGCATACTGTTCGAGGCTGCCCCCATTATGGCCGCAGCCAAACACACACACACACACACACATGCCATTGCCTTGAAAGCGGCGTTGCGTACACCACCCGTTGCAGATGGTGCGAAGGTAAGCCGCTCCTACTTTCGGCGCCGCACGGCGCTCCGGCAGCCTAGAAACCGTCGCGGCGCACTCACGGTGGCCAGCCGACGTCGCAGGTGCAATCGCGCCGAACGCCGGAGCGCGGCGCGAGCAACGGCTGCCGCCCGCCCCTGCCAGCCCCGCCGCCGCGGGCAGGCAAAGTGCGCGCAGAGAGGTCGGTCACCTTGGAGCGCAGGGCGCACACGGCCGCTGCCAGCTTCGAGACGAAACTCAACTGGCCCATTGCCTCCACCAACCTACGCGGGCGAGCGAGCAGCTGGAGCGCGCAGCGGGGAGCAGCGCGGCCGCGCGCGCGTTTTCAAAAAGCGCAATTCTCGCCCCGGCGGCAAACACTGTCGCGGCCAAGCCAGCCAGCTCGCTGAGGAACTTCAGAAGCGGCTGTCCTTGAGACAAAGAGGAGCTACCAACCCCCGCGGACCTGGGAGCAGCGCCCGGCAGGCTTTCATGTCAGAACCACTTGAATTCGGAAACAAGTCGTTGACCTGGGCAACAAAACAACAAAATACAACAGACAGATGCTCAGCACGCCTGCAACGCGAGACAGAGCCCCAGACTAAACCTCGACCGAGCGCGGGCTCGCTCCAAACATTTAGCCAACGGGCTGTCCCAAGACAGCGCGGCGTGGCCTGACCCCACGAGGAGGCATACACTTGGCGGCAGCCTCAATCCGAACACTGGCCTATTCGGGCGCCCTCGACGCCACCTGGGCGAGCGGCGCCCACTCGTCGCACTGGCGCAACGGCACCAGGATCGTCTTCTGGACATTGAGCGCGAGCCCTGACAATGCCTCAAAGCCCGCGAAGAGCGTCTGCAAAGTGCTTCAACAGACGAGGGGGTCTTTCAGCACCACGGCGAGGTCGCCAGCCCACGCGCGAGACCGCGCCACGGGAACCACGAGACGAAGACGCCGCAATACGAGGTCGGTCGCCATGGCGAACAGCAGCGGGACAGGGGACGGCTCTGCCAGGTCCTCGGAGCGATCGGGAATCCAGGGAACCTCTCGCCGCGGACCTGGGCGACGCAGGTCTTGACAAGACACGGAACGCCGACGACGCCACGCCGCCACTGCGGCCAGCCCAGCTCGGCGAAGACCTGCAAGAGAAAAAACGCGCCATCCGAGGGGAACGCCGCCGCAGAGCCGTGGAAGATCGCAGCGCCGCTCTCTCCCCCTGCGCCCCGGTCGAGGAGCACGGCCTCGCCCACGCCCGGGGCATGTGAGCCATCGTCGAGCGCCCCGGCACACAGAGCCCCCCCGGTCCTCCAGGACGCGGGGCTCCAGCACCAGCCGAGCAGCGCAGGCGCTCGTCGCCATGCGCGGCGCCCAGCGGACGCGCGCCCGACGCCGGCGAAGACGGGGGCGCCAGACCCTGCGACACCTGCCAGCGCAGCACTGCCGAGGCACAGCGAGGGGCCGACGCCCTGCACCAGCCCCTGCGAAGCCTCGGCGAGCGCGTCGACCGCCTGGCCGCCACCTGCCCGCCACGCTCCGCGCGGAATTCCGTCGGGGCCCGGCGCGGAGGCGTCGGGGAGCCGCAGCGCCTTCCTGACATGCCGCCGCGTCAAAGGAACATCCTGGAAGTCCGCGCAGAGCGGGCCCTCCTCTTCCCTGCCCCCCCCCTTGCACGCGAGACAACTCGCCGCTCTGCAGCCCCGTTCTGCCCCGCGCGCGAGCGCGGCGCCTCTGCAGCGCCACGGCGGAAGACATGAAGCGAGCCGCGCGCTGCTCTGCCCGCCGCGCCCCCCCCGCAAGCACGCGGCCCGCCAGCTTTCGTCGACGCCCAGGGCCCGGAAGGTCTCGGCCCCACGCAGAGAAGACCCGCAGCCATCTCGCCCGCTTCTGCTCGGAAGCGGCCAGCAGAATCCACCACTGCACCCACGCCCGTCGACGAGCCTGGGGCGAGCTTGAACAGCAGGCGAAGTGCCCTTCTGGCCTGTCCGTCGTGCCTGGCGCGCCACGCCCTCCCGCTCGTCCTCCTGCGCCTCGCGCAGCAGCGCGAGGGCCACCTCCCCGGCCAGCTCGCCCCCGGGCGGCCCTACATGAGATCGCGGCATTGCCATCCAAAAATTATGTGTTTTCGACAAGTTCTGCATACTTGAGGCAGCGGAGGAGGCACGATGAGACTGGCCCCAAGCAACCCTGCTCCAGAGCTCAGAAAATCTCACCACAACACCCAGATTATCCCCCGGCTCGAAGGCCTGCGCGCATCCTCTCGATGTAACCTCTAAGTGAGATGCGCCCGAATGCATCGCCGGCTTCTGGACCAGCCGCTGAAGTGCCAGGGCCTCTGGATGATCAGAAAGAAATGCGCAAGAAGCCAGAGCGACGCGACGTGGGAAGTCGGCGTGAGAGAATACGCTCTGCGGAATGGGTCTATCGGAGGTGTCCAACCGCACTGGCTGACGTCGCGCAGCAAAGACAGCGCGGTGCATGGAAAGGTGCCGGCGGGGCTCCGGGGCCACGACCTGCGACTCTCGGTCAATCTGCTGGGAGGCATGTTGGTTCATGGTCCCATCTCGAAGACGAGGCGGCCGTGCCGCGCAGGCCGCACCGCCGCCCAAAAAGCCTTTGGGAATGCCGCTCCTCCGCGGCGTCCCGCATTCCAGCAGGCAGCACGGTGGCCGTGCACCGACAGTCCTGTGGCAGAGCAGCCCTCTTGAAGTCCCCGCCGAGCACGGTGAAGACGTGCGTCTGAGGACGACTAGCAGAAGAGGTCCAGTCCCGAAGATGCTCGTTGAGGGGGGGGAACTTGTGCAACGCTCGAGCGCCATCGGGTGCACACACACCCCGTTCCAACTCCGTGACCTCAGCCCCCATGTGAAAGATCGAGACGACCACGTCGAGGGCACCGGCGAAAGCCCGCAAGGAGAGAATAGCAGCGCGTCCAGGCCAGGCAACGTGCCACTGAGGTTCACGCTCGACTTGGCCCAAGCAGTCCGCCCTGGCGATTATTCCAACGCCGGCGCTGCCCACCGTGGGCCCAGCAGACCGCCATGCCCGTGTCCGTGTTCCTATGTGGGGCCATTTGTATCAGGCTTCCTAGTAATCACATTAGTCTTCTTATGACTCTTAGTCTTGATAGCATTGTTATCCTAAATGCTGTCATTATTAATATTCGTCTGGGTACTACCATTATTCTGCATCGTCTTCACATATTATGTATTCGTGTTACAAGTAATAGAACTATTCGTCGTGAGGTCATTACTAGTATGCGTAATGTTGTGCTTACTACGATCAATAGAATCGATCGTTTGCTTCGTGCTCGTTCTTGTTCTCAGTATTGGCAGACTTGACCTTATTGCTTGTCATAGTATAAGTAATCGTATTGTGCGCATTGCGTTCGCGCTTCTAAAGAATAATACGAACAATACTAATAATACAAATGTGATTAGTACTGTATTAATAGTACTATGACGAATGCTGGTAGTATTCTCAGGGTTTCCGATAGTATTGCTAATGTGTTCAAGTGCTTCGTAGTGCTAGCATTCCTTGTTCAAGTCTTAGCACTTTTATTACTACTATTACTGTTTGTCTTATCATTCGGCTGTTCGGCCCCCCTCCTCCTCCTCCTGCTCCTCCTCCTCCTCCTCCTCCTCCTCCTCCTCCTCCTCCTCCTCCTCCCCCTGCAAGCCCACAAACCCCTCCAATCCCATTTGGGCTATCTCTCCCCTCGAGATCCACCCCATCCTCCCTTCTCCGACGACGGCGACGACGCCTCCTCCAGGCTCCAGGGGGGCCGGCCCGCGAACCTACTCACCACGCCGATCTTGCCAGGCGTGTGGATGTAGCCGGGCATAATGCCCATCTTGCACGCCTTCCGCGGAAGGAGCTGGGAACCGGCGGACAAATAAAGGGAGAGGACGAAGGCGCTACACCCCCCTGGAAAAGGAATGCAACTGCTGCAGGTCGTGTCGGTGCGTGGTTCGGAGGACTTCCCTAGGGTAGCCAGGTCCGTTACCGGCGGTCCTAGGGCCCCAAAACGGCCCCCGGATGCCAAAAACGTCGGACGAGAACAAACAAGTCGACGATTGAAGTCGTATTACTTTTCAGGGCAGCGCGGGTCACCGAACTTCGTGATCATCTTCGCGCCCTTGCGCCCCAGCGCCGCTCCCTTGGACAGGGGCAGCGGCTCTGGCCCCAGACCGCGGCGCGCGAGGCGCGATCATCTTCGCGCTCCCGCGGGTGGATGATGATTTCGATCTGATGATACTGATGGTGATGCGGGTGATGATGGTGCTGATGGTGCTGATGATGGTGCTGATGATGGTGCTGATGATGATGATGCTGATGATGATGACGATGATGATAATGATGATGATGGCGGTGGTGCTGGTAGTGCTGATAGTGCTGATGATGCTGATGGTGGTGATGATGATGATGATGGCGGTGGTGCTGGTAGTGCTGATAGTGCTGATGATGCTGATGGTGGTGATGATGATGATGATGCTGGTGATGACGGCGATGGCGATGGCGACGGCGATGATGGGAATGATGGTGATGATGATGATGATGATGCTGATGATGATGATGATGATGATGATGATGATGATGATGATGATGGTGATGCTGATTGTGATGGTGGCGGTGGTGCTGATAGTGCTGATAGTGCTGATGATTATGATGGTGGTGGTGATGATGATGATGATGATGGTGGTGATGATGATGGGGACGGCGATGGTGACGGCGATGATTGCGATGATGGCGATGATGGCGATTATTATGATGGTGATGATGATGATGGTGATGCTGATGCTGATGCTGATGGTGGTGGTGGTGATGGTGATGGTGATGGTGATGGTGATGGTAATGGTGATGGTGATGGTGATGGTGATGGTGATGGTAATGGTGATGGTGATGGTGATGGTGATGGTGGTGGTGATGGGGATGGTGGTTGTGGTGATGATAATGATGATGATAGTAATACATGCGCCTCATGCGCGCCGAAGCATGGCCTGATCTGGAGAATCGCAATGATGAGGGATGATGATCCACACAGCCTGATCTGAACTGGGATGATGATGATAATGGTGATGGTGATGATGACGATGAAGATGATAATGATGATAATGATGATGATGATGATGATGATGATGATGATGATGATGATGATGATGGCAATGATGATGGTGATGATGGCAATGATGATGGTGATGATGATGATGATGATCATGAGGAGGAAGAGGAGGAGGAGGTGGAGGAGGACAGCGAGAACGACCTCCCCCTCCACACCCACTCCCCGACTCGCGGAGCGTTCTGGGGGGCGGCGCAGGAAGACTGCGCGCGTCCTGGCGCCGACCCAAGAAGTCCGCGCAGACGTCCGAAAGCTCATGTTTCTACAGTGGAGGCCCGACCACAAGAAACGCAACCCCGAGACCCCGGGACGTCCGCGGATTTTTGGCGTGGGAGCGTCGCGCGCTCCATCGCAAGACCGTCGAGACCCGAGAAGCCCAGGGCACCCTGGAGGCAGGCAGGGCGCTTCTTGGCAGGGGTCTCCACCGCAGGTCGCCCGGCTGCGCGCATATCGCGCCCCGGCGGTGCGCGGCGCGCGATCCCCTGCGCGCCCTCGCGCCGCCGCCCTGGCGAGGGGCGGCTCTCCAGCGTGGTCCACCCCAGGCCGAGGTGCGCGACGCGCGGCCACCTTCGCGACCCCTCGGGTGACGTGTTGCCTGTCGTGTCGTGCGCCCTCCGCGGGTGACGTCCCAGCCTGGGCCCGCCGACGGATAGACGGCGCCTCTCCGCGACGTCGGGGTGGGGAAGGCCGGGATCCTGGTCGCGGCGGGCAATCAGTGCGTCGGCGATTCTGCACGACCCTCCGACCCCTCCTCCTTCTCCTCCTCCTCCTCCTCCCCCTCCTCCTCCTCCTCAGCAGCAGCAGCATCCTGATCATCATTCCTCATCATCATCATCATCATCATCATCATCATCATCATCATCATCATCATCATCATCATCATCATCATCATCATCATCATCATCATCATCATCATCATCATCATCATCATCATCATCATCATCATCATCATCATCATCATCATCATCATCATCATCATCATCATCATCATCATCATCATCATCATCATCATCATCATCATCATCATCATCATCAGCAGCAGCAGCATCAGCA